GTGTGTGTGTGTGTGTGTGTGTGTGTGTGTGTGTGTGTGTGTGTGTGTGTGTGTGTGTGTGTGTGAACGGCTCCCCGCCCACCGCACTGGGAGCCGGCAGGAACCCCCACGAGGACACCCACAGGGAGGGCAGCCTGCCCAGCCCACCGGACACTGGTGGTCCGGGCTGTTCCTTCCGGAATTGTCCCTGTCCTGTCTTCAGACCCCACAGAACTGCCAGCTTCCCTTCAGTGGAGGTTCGGGGCAGGATGAAAGGCAGGAGTTGCCTTTGTCTGAAGGGACCTTCCTCCCCGTGTCTTTGCTTTCCAAAGCCTGAAAGCCTCCGGGTTCCCAAGAGGGTTTTCAGAGAAGGAACAAGGTTTTCTTCTTCAGGGGGAAGCACTGTCTTCTTATCTTCAGAAAAAAACATGAATGGAGACAGATTTCCTCCTACTCATGCATTCCTACATGTGTATTGAGGGCCTACTCTGTGCAGGGACTGTTCTAGAAGCTGGGACTAGAGCCACGAATGAGACAGGCCACTCCCAGTCCTCCAGAAGCTTCTCTTCCCTCTGCGAGACGGCTAGCTAGTGAGTAAACGAACAGGTGAGATACTTGGATATTGCGACAAAAACCATGAAGGAAACTGAAGTCGCTTCCACAGTAGATGGTCAGGGAAGGCTTCCTCGGGGCGGCAAGTGAGGTGACCTGAGGGGAGAAGGTGCTGTCCAGGCAGGGAGGCTGAGGAGGCTCAAGCCTCCGGGTAGGAGAGGGCTTGGCATGGTCAGGGGACAGAGAGGTGGCCGGCGTGGCTGCGGCCTGGCGGAGGGGAGGAGATGACGACGTGGGGAAGGTGCAGGCCTGGGGAGAGGCGGTGGGGGTTCACGTTTTACTCTCTGATTGACGGCCAGACAAGCAAAGGCAGGTCTGGAAGTCTGGACCCCGTGTTTTGGGGTAGCAGAGCAGAAGAAAGGGGTGTTTTTAAGAGGAGATATTCTTAAGAAGGCAAAGTATGATGCTCCGACTCCTGCTCCCAACTCCAGGGAAGCCTGGGAAAATGACCACCCCCTGAGTGAGAAAAGGTGGCTTTGCGTGTGGGAATCCATGAAAATTCAAACTGGGAGAGACCCTGGAGAACCACCACGATACTGCAGGAGAGGACAAAGCTGGACTTCGAGACTCGCTGTAAGCCCCCCAGTAATTAAGATGGCGCCGTTGCCCAAGATCCATTCTTGGGATCGATGGAACAGAAGCACAGAGGGCCAGAAAGAGACCCGCACAATACAGTCGACTGGTCTTTGACAGAGGAACGATAAGAGGGAGAAAAAATAGTCTTTTCAACAAACGATGCTGGAACAATGGGACATCCATGTGCAGACAGTGAATCTAGACACAGACCTTACCCCCTCCCCAAAAAGTAACTCAAATGGATCACAGACAAAATGTAAAATGCAAAACTGTAAAACTCGCAGTTGATGACATAGAAAGTCTGAATGACCTTGGGCTTGGCAGTGATACCAGCTCATCCAGCTTGGGTCTGGGTTGGGTTTAGAGAGGACATGCAAGGCTTGATCCATGAGAGAAAGAATTGATAAACTGGATGCTACAGTCTGAATGTGTCCCCCCGAATTTCATAAGCCAGAATCTCACCCCCAAAGAGATGTATGCATGAGATCATACAAGCGCAGTAGCAGGAAACAGAAGATGAAACACCAGACAAAGGCATGGAAGTGGCACGGAGTCCTGGAGAACCAGGGACTAGCAACACGGGGGAGTGCGTGCCCGGGACAGTCCCCCTGATGGACCCGTGCGGTCTGGGGTCTTGCTTCCTGCCTACTTCACCCGCAAGGGGGTGCGTGGCCGGCAGGTGTCTGCAGGTTTCTGGATTATGGCGTCGTGGCCCCAACATCCAGCCCTCGCCCTGAGCGTGTCCTTCAAAAAGGCACGTTGAAAGAGAGCTCAGTAAAGGATTTTAAACAGAGCTACTCATGACTCACAAAGGAGAGTGCTGGGGTGGGCTACACTGTGGCGCCTCGCTAGTTAGGAACCCAGCACTTAGTTCACGGGCTACTGCAGCCTTCCCCAAGCATACAGTTTTGATCTTAGGACCCATCTAAACATTTAAAGTGACTGAGGACCCCAAAGAGCTTTCGTTTGTGTGGGCTACATCTATCAATATTTGCTGGATTTGAAATTACAGCTGGAAAAACGTTAAATATTGAAATGTATTTTTCAATATTTATTTGCAACTTAAAAAAAACAAATAAAAAACTCATGTTAACATAAATAATATCGTTTTATAAAAAATAATTATAGTTCTAAAACAAACAAAAATAGGACACGTAATAAAATAGTGGCACGTAATAAAAATAATTTTGCACGTCTCTCCCTCTGTCCCATTTTGTAGGAGCAGGTCTGCAGATGGGGGGCAGATTTGGGAGCAGATGCTTTGATTTGAAGTGTAGGGTAACCCAGCTTCACACAGACATGCAGGCGGAAAAGGAGAGAACATGCAAATGACTCTCTCAGAGACTGGTGGATGCTCTTCTTTGATACTGTATCAAAACTGGGCAAGTGGTGGTTTCTCAAAGGTTAACTGTAGTGTGAAATCTGAAACCATGTCAGTGAACCTTTTCGTATGTCACATTAAAATCCACTGGTCACTGGCGTGCTTTGTGATTTTGTCACGCGACGCATTGGTCACTTGGACAATATCGGTTCACCGAGTTCTGCGGATCTTCCGCATGCTGAGCCATTGCAAATATAATTTAAAAAGTCACAGTCATTCATATCGCCACCAATCCTAGTAGAAAAGTAGCAGAGAGTCTCGAGCTCACAGGGGCACATACGAAATTTCCAAAATTCTGATTTTCATTTGAAAGCTCAACTATTATCACGGACAGCAAATATTGCCCGTTGTTTTTCTTGAAGTGACAGGCTCACTTCCTCTATTTTTGAGAAGGTGTCTGCTAAATACCCAGGCTGAGCAACCACACTCGTCATATCAGCTGTTCTTTCCAAAAAAAAAAAAAAAATGGCAGTCCATAAACAAGGCTCACCCTGTTACTCACGGACTCACATGGTGCTTTTCCTATGGCAACCACTGCTTCTCCATGTTCAGCAGCATATTAAAGATACGCATGCAAGGGTGGAGATTTAATAAAATAATTTCACTACTCCAGAAACATTCTTAAGTGAAACTGGCTTTTTGTTTTTTTTTTTTTTTTTCAACTGAGACTCTGTGGCAGCGAATATAATGATTGTTATTATAGGAGCCTTGACACATGCTAAGGGGCCGGTGATTTTATGCACCATTGCTTTGGCCTTGGTGCAAGATGTCAACAGAGTGAAAAAGGCAAATAATGTTTTGGTATTACTAGGAGAATCGTTTTGACCTCCCAGGCCCCCTGAAAGGGTGCTGGGGGCACCCTTCCCCTACATGGATCCTTGGAACACTCTTGGAAGACTGCACTGGTGGAGTACTGAGAACCAAGTCTGAACTGAGGATAGTACTCCCTGGGCTGGAGGTGAGAGGTACCGAGGACACTGGAATCTTGGCAGGGACAGTGTCGGTCCTACAGAATACAGTATTAACGAAGACCCCAATCCACCCCAAGCATTCATGAAGACACCCATCAACGGGACTGCCTGCTGCAGCTACTTCCTTTGAAGAGTAGAGCACCCAAGGTCCATTCTTCTATCTGGATTGGCGTCATGGTAGTTTTTGTTAAAAAGAGTTCACAAAGCACCCTCGGGGATCTGCCTCTGCTACCAGGGGCTCTGAAGTTTCACATCAGGATTCCCCACTCTTGTCAACCCTCCCATGCCTGTGCCCTGCGAGAATGCCTGCGGCTGAGAGTGGCCCTGAGAACTTCTCTCTTGCTCTGGATTAAGCCATTCACCAGCCCTAACAGTTGCTCATTGACCAGCCCCCAGTAAGAATAGAAACACCTTGCCTTAATATGTTCAGGTCTCTACAACCAAATGCAACAAACTTGGGTGGCTTCCAGACTCGGTGCATGACCCAGATCTTGGAATGACTTTTGGTCAGTCTTGTGTGAATCATCCAGATTCCTCCAGGGCTGTCCTGGGCTGGGCGCTGGGCGGGAGTGGAGTTTGAGCTCAGGGAGGAGATTGTTGCTCTGGATCAAAGCTGTGAGCTCTTTGATTGAAATCTGATAAGTGACCGAGTGACATCATGGTTTAGGAGGCTGGTACGGGATGTGACCACCCTTCCCGGCCTTTGCAGGGCACCATGTGTTACCTCCTGCTGGGTCATAAAGGGAAGGAGTGGTTTGAGTTTATGATTGGAGGCCTCACCTGCAGAATGAAGGTTACTGAGTCCAGGGGAAGCAAACAAGAGACTGTTTGGAGAGTTTCTTGGATCTTCTTGGGTCAGTGTGTCCTCAAGTCAGCTCCCACTACTTTTACCCAGCAGCAGCCTTATGAGGGCAGCCTACAGGGGAGCCCCTGTCCACCCTGTGCCAACCCCCCCTGCTGGGTATCTTCAAGCTCCTTAGCAGCTCAACTGCTGACCTCCGGGGACTTTGAGCACCTTGCTCAGTACATTTACGCAAGAGGCAACAGGAGGGACACAAAGTGACTTGTGTTTAATTACTGACAGCCACTTTGACTAAATCAGGATTAAATGATCACCCCAAACAAAAGCAAAGTAGCACAAAGTCCCACAATAAAGACAGCCAAACACATTAAAATCTCTTCTCAGACTTCCCATT